CCCCACACCCCTTCCCCCCAACCCCACATGTACCCATAAATCTCACACACTGCATGCCCAGCCGGCTACATGGTATGGGGTGGGACCTGCTGGTGGAAGCTGTGTCTGCAGGGACAACTGCCACACTGCAGCCCTGTTCCATGCCCATACCAGTGCTGGGACATGAGGCTCCACCCTGGGCGGGGGGAAGCATCTGGTCCCAGGAGCCACTTGGGGGGTGTGATGGGCTGGGGGAAGGGGTGTGTGAGAGAGGTGGTGAGGTTGGGGGAGCACTCCGGGTAGGAGAGGCCTCCAGAGCCAGGCTTAGAGCCCCCTACTCCCCTAGAACAGCCTGTGCAGGGGGTGCTGGCCTGAGAGGAAATGGCTCAGCTCAGTCCCTGATCCTCAGCTGAGGGCTTCCCAAGATGGGGCAGGGAGCAGAACAGCAAGGGCTGGCACTGTTCAGAGACACAAAGCAGCTGGTAGGACAGCTGCAGCCAGACTCATGTCCTGGTGCTGGGACAGAGCTGTGGCTAGGAGGAAGCTAGTGGGGGCAGGCAGGGGCTGCAGGTCAGGAGTGAGGGGACTGGGGAGGGGAAGGAGGGGGCTGTGGGTTGATTGTAAGGGGCAAAGGGAGAGGCAGGGCACTGGCATATCAGTGCTGCTTAGCATCACACATCCTGGTGAGTGAAGGGAGTAGGAGCAGCTCTGATTTTTTCTGTGACAAAAAACCCAAAAGCAAATGCCAAAGTGTACAGATATTTAGAATCCATTTTATTATGATGATAGAGGCACTGGTAGGCTTCCAAACTGCTTTAAACTTACAAATCTATCAATAAAACATTGTCCAACTGATCTCTCTATATATAGTGGCATTTCATTTTCATAGCGAAAGAACACTATTTTGGGTATTTTCATAACAGAATTTGGGCTTCTTTTTGCAATTCTTTTTCCAGATTTTGCAATTTTTAAACAGGGAACACCAAAATCTCTGCTGGTGAGACATGTGGCGAGACCCAGGCAGAGGAGCCTGTCCAGGGCCAGCACTGGGGACCCAGCTGGAGGCCAGATGATGTTTCTGACCTCTTGGCTATTTGGGGCCAAGAGGACATGCTTTGACAATTCAAAACAGGCCACCACAAGGAGCACATCTTCTGGGTGATAGCTGCCCAGATGGCAGTGAGGGCACCCCATCCAAGTCTGGCAGGCACGTAGCCATGGGGCCACAGGTCCAAGAGGGTGAATGCTTTTGTAGATGGCAGCAGGTAACTGACAAGCAGCAGACCCCACTGCCAGACCGCTGCAGTGGGAAGAGGGTGCAGGGGTCACTCTAGGTTAGGGCTGCTTCAGCAGTCCAGCTGGCACAAGGGGTAGTGTCTCCAGATACCAAGTGGCCAGGCCTCAGAAGCTCCTGAGGGCAAGTAGCCCTGAACTGCCCACCAGGGCAGCTTTTTATATTGCTGGGGGCCGCACCGGGGCCCCCAACCTCTAACTCCCCCTGGCTGAAGATCCAGGAGGACTGTGAAGGGTCAGTTTGCCCCAAGTAGCACAACTTGCCCCACATCAAAGTGCATGTCTGGACATGTGCTCTGAGGCAAACATCCCCAGCAGAAATTTGTGCCGCTCCTATTTGAGCTGCTGCAAGTGCATGTACTCGGACATGTACTTTGGTGTGAAGCAAGTTGTACCACTTGGGGCCAGGCCCCCCCATGCCCACCCCCCCACCCCACAGCTCCCACACACAAGCACAGTGCCCCCCCACACCCACAATTCCCCCCACCTCGATCCCTACTTACCTGCAACAGTGCCAGGGTTCATCACACCGGATCCTTGCCGTGCATCTGCTTGTCCCAGCACGTTAAGGGTGCATGCCCCGCGTGCTGGCAGCAGAAGCACATAGAAGTGCTCTGGCCAAAAACCAGCTCTGGTTTTTGGCCAGAGCTCTGGAGGACTGGCTTCTGGGTTACCCCACTTTTTTCCCCCATGTTTTTTTTTGATACCTGAATTTCCAGGTATCAAATTTTGAACAGCATGGGGAACATTTTTTCATTCACAGCGTGCCTCTTGCAACATGTCAAAGTGGTTTGGGATGCTGCAAGAGGCATGTGCATGCTCATCTGGATGCACCCATAGTGCATAGCCACCTCTTTACCAACCTCTACTAAGCCTGTACTACTCTGTACAAAACCCCCCAGAGATTTATAGGAGAAGATGAAGCAAAAATCCATACCCCCACAGGTAAAGGTACCCTACTGGGAGAGATTCTAGATTCTGGTTCCTGCTTCCAGTTGTACCTCTGTCCAATGACTCTAATGCATAAGAAATCCCTGGATCAAGGACCAAACCAGGACTCCTCTTCCAGAACACGTGACTTTTTGTTTATTCTCTCTTTCTCTACAACATTGATTCACAAATATTTACTGAAATAAAGACTAGAAGAGAGTTGTCAGTAAGTAAGTAACAGCTTTGGCTATCATGTACACAGAACTGGCAACCTAGCTGAGACTACATAAAGCTTAAACTATTCAAAACATAAAAAGCATAAATGTTGTGATTGGATGTTTACATAAATATACTTTTATCTTACCTTTAAGGATCCTGTTTGCCTAGAATCACACAACCAGAACCAGAACCGAATTCTACACACTCCAAGGCTGGCTGGGAAGAAACTAGTAGTAACTATCCTTGTTGTGTCCCCTGTCTTCTGAGAAGATGAGTTGACATACAAAAAATGTTGTCCATTACCTTAGAAATAATGAAAACATTTTTTCATTATTGTTTGACATTTTAGTGCATACACACATATATCTAAATATAACCCACAGATCTGATAATATAATAACATAAAAACTGCTATTTATTGCTAGTTCACATTATATTTTGTTTCACACAGTGACAAACAGTGGATGTGGATAGAAAGGGTGTACAGAATTTTCCACCTCTGCTCCTTTACCCTTTGTAGCTTCCAGCATTCAGAGATTTATGAAGTTCTGAATGAAAGGCCAATGTTATATATCTACCAATGTACCTTTTCACCATGAATTTACTCAACCCCTTTTGAACTGGGTCCAACTATCAGCCTCTGGTGGCAATGAGTTCTAGGAGTTAATTACACGCTGTGTGAAAAAAGAACTTTCTTTTGTTACTACCAAATAGTTTCATTTGATGTCCCCTAATTCTAGTGTTTTGAGATGTTAAAAAAATAAATTCCAATTTACTTTCTCTGCATCATTTACTATTCTAATAAATCTTTATCATGACCCAACAACTCAAACATCTCTTTTCTAAGCTGAAAAGTCCTAGCCTATTTAGTTTCACATTAGATGGAAGCCTCTCCATAATGCTGATCATTACACTTCACATGCTTGTACTTTCAACTTTTTATGCACATTTTTCTGTCATTTTTCTTATATCTCATCTTTCCAAGTAGTCTCTCTCAGTACTGTAATGATCAGAGATTTTTTTTACTATACTACAGTTTGTAAAAAAAAACCCAGTATACAAAAAATTCTCAGTAATTACAATAATCAATATTTAGATATTAGCTTTAGTTCTGCTAAAGCAGTAGCTTTTCTTCCTTTGAAGTTGTTCAAAAAATGGATCAATAAATAGTTAAAAAATATTTCCTAAAATCATTATTTTATCATGTGTAGTTATTTTTATGGCATTCATAAACAGAACAAAGTTAAGCTGTGCCCCTGAGTCAATGATAAACTCCTCAGTTCTTTTTTATATTACTGCAAAATGTGGTGAGGTTTATTAAGAATCCTCTTTTCTCTTTGGAATCAATGTTTCTTATCTTTTAACTAAATATCTTCACAACTGCCCAGGGGTTTCCTTAGCCTGGTCTAATCCATTTTTCCTACTGCAGACGAATCATACCTACTTCCCATCTATTCCTTCCCTTTCCACAGTTCTCTGTTTTTTATTTTCCAAGGATTCCCAAATTAAATTTTCCAATCAACCCATCCGACTGTAACAGGATCCACTTGTTTGGGTGATTCTACCTTAATGTTACAAGTTCACAAATTAAGTTATGTGTTAGAATACCAATTAGATGTAGTCAGGGCATTTATTACTTTACAGTATCGGTAGGATGTGGAAGCAAAAGACTTAGCGAATCATAGAATGTGTGTTGTAGGTAGTGGGAATGTGACAAAGAACACAAGAAAATTTCCTATGCTTAAACTGTTAATAAAGAAAAGGCAGAAGTGCTCAGTAAACACTTTATTCAAGGTTTAAACATATTACTTTCCAAAATATTACCAATATTTTTCTGAGATTACAAGGTTGATGGATAATGGTCACTTCATTGATACATTATGTTTAGAATGATATAAAGTATTTGAATTTTGTACTGAACAACACTCTAATTTAAAAAAAAAAAAAAAAGAACTATAATAGCACTCATCCTGACTGGGTTAGGAACTGACCAACAAACAGATCAGGAAAGGTACACATCCATAGGAAATTATTATCTAAGTGAGGTGTTTGTAGTGGAGTTCCAGGAAACAGGAGTTCAACATTTTCATCAATCATTTGGAATTAAATATAAAATCGCTGCTGGTAAGATTTGAGAATAACATTGGGGCTGGTGAAGTGGTAAATAATGAAGAAGAGAGGGTTCTGGATCACTGGGTAAATTAGATCCATACAAAAATGTGTTTTAATATCTTCAAATACAAAGTTATAAATCTAGAAATCAATCATCTCCTATTCACTCAGTTGAGGCAGGATCAAATATACCTAGGCCACCCCTGACTGATGCATGTAAAAGAAAAAGTCTAATGTGATCTAAACATCTCCAGTGACAGATTCCATAAATCATTGGTTGCCTATTCCAATGTTTTAGCATTCTAATAGTAACATGTTTATCCTATCATCTAATGTAAATCTTTGTTTCTTCTGCAAATTAAACTGATTTTTTTTTTCTTCCCCTAAGGACCACAGCAGACAATCAGCATCCTGTTTATAGCACCCTTTAATACATGGGAAGACTATTACTATGTTCTTACTCATCCTTCTCTTTTCTAGGCTAAATAAGCCAGTTCCTTCAATATTTTCTCAAAGATGACATGTCTAAAATTATTGGCTAAGTACAGACATTTGTGGGCATTAGGTGGAGGTTAAATCATTTCAGAATGGCTGCCCAATATCAAGTAAGTCAGGATGTGGGGTTAGTGGAGGGGTTGGAGGTCCAGCACGGTGGAGGGGGATTGGAGGTCCACTGGGATATGGGGGGCGAGGCATGACCTGTGAGTAATGCAGGGGCAAGAATGACCCGCAGGTAGGATCAGGGGGGCAGAGGTGATCCATGAGGGGTGGGGGGGCAAGCACAACCTGTGAGTGGTAAACAGGTATGACCTGTGGGTGGGGTATGGGGGGAAGGCATGACCTACACATGGGGAGGTGACAGGTACAATCCACAGGTTTTGTTGGGGTTTGGGAGTATATGACAGGATTGAGGGGAGGGGGTGGGGTTCACAGTGTCCATGGGAGAGCTTGAGGGGATGAGAGGCTACTTTTAGCCCCCCAACCCCTCCAGCAAACCTGCATCCCTCCCGCCCCTCCCCACAATGGGACTTAATTGCTCGGCTCTGGTGGTGGTGAATGCTCATAAAAATGGCTCCACCCAAAGTGGCTTGTGGGATGGGGGTGGAGAGATGGCTGGTTGTGGGGTGGGGAGGTGGAATGGGGGCAGACAGCAAGGGGCTGCAAAAGCAAAAAATAGTCTAGTGCAGGGGGTGTGTGAAAAGAGCAGTCCCAGGGCTGGGGCTAGTGGTTGGGTTTTCCCAGCCCTGGGGCTGTGCAGGGAGTGTACAGAAGTTCTACACACTGGTTTGATCAAATCAAAAAAAGTCTGATACTACATAGATCTAGGTTTATCTTAAACTGGATTCTGCAATTTTTAGACTGCCTTGTATTCATAAAACTTCTGTACAGTTACATGTTTAGATTGATCACCAGTCAGTTGTTCCTACTGTGCCATAGCATCAGAAAAAAACCGTGTGCGGATGCTATTCTGCAGTAACACTAGACCTGCGCGCAGGGCAAGGGCAAGCTGCACCAAACTTCCTTGCTACAGCACTGTCCCCAGATGTCTGTACTTAGCCATTCTCTTCCTTGTTGCTTGTCTCTGGATTCGCTTCAAGTTCTATATCTTAAATACAATCTGTATCTTAAATACAAGAAATCCCATTAATACTTCTTAGAATGAAATTGGTCTTTTTTGCAGCAGCATCACATTGTTGACTTTGGTTGTAATTTACTATGACTTCCATATTCTTTCTGCTGCTGTTCCAGTTATGCCCCATTTTGTATACATGGATTCAATTCTGTTTCCTAAGTGAAACCTCCTGCACTTATCTTTATGATATTTCATGTTATTGATTTCAGACCATCTCTCCAGTTTGTCAAGATCATCTCGAATTCTGGTCTTGTCCTCCAAAGTGCTTGCAGCACCTTCTAGATTAGTGTCATCCACAAATTTCATAAGTTTGCTCTATGCTCCAATAGCTAAATTGTTAATGAAACTATTGAATAGAACTGAGCTTAGTACAGACTCCTGCTGGTCCACATTTTAGATTCCTTCCCTGTTTACAGGGAACAGTCCATAACTAGTTGTTTATCTTCTTCATGCTGATTATGCTTGAATCAGGCCTCCCCAGTTTGCTTATTAGAACAGCATGTGGAACAGTAAAAGCCTTACTAAAACTGTCTACATTTGATGAGCTGTATGATGGGACTGAGTGCACTCTTAGCAATTTTGTGGATGGCACCAAGTTGGGTGGAGTTGAAGATGCTCTGGAAGGTAACGCCAGGATCCAGAATAACTTGGAGAAATGGTTCAAAATAAATTAGATGAAATTCAGCAAGGACAACTGTCATGCCCTACACTTAGAATGGAATAATTGCATACACAAATACAGACTGGGGAATAACTAGCTAGGCACAGCACTGTAGAGAAAGACTTGGGGGTTACAGTGGCCAACAGCATGCTGCTGTTGCAAAAAATCCAACAACAAACTGGGTTGTATTAACCTGTCTTTTGAAAATCAAGAGAAATGATTCTTTCATTCTATTCAGCAGTGATGAAACCTCACCTGGAGTATTGTGTCCCATTTTGGGCCCTGTACTTCAAGAAAGATGGGGGCAGATTAAAAAGAGTCCAGTTGAGAGCCAGAAAAATTATTAGAGGCCTTGGATGTCTCTAATCATTAATGAGGAAAGGCTGAAAGAGCTAGGTTTGTTTAGTTTGCAGAAGGGGAGATTTGATAATTTGATAAAAGTCTTCAAATACTTGAAAGGTGATTTTAAAGAGGATGGAGAAAGATGTTTTTCTGTGGCTGTGGGTGGACTAGGAGCATCCAACTGCAGCAAAAGAAACTTAAATTTAGATTTGCAAGAACTTTCTAGTCCTACTTTATGATTCCATATTACATCTACAGTTCGAAAAGGGTTAAAATCCAGACATGATGCCTGGAGAAAATATCTTACAGAAATAAATTCTGTCTGCTTATTGTATCAAAGAGAAGACTTAAAGGTAGATACTTACATTGTATAAGTATTGTCACAGAGAGAGTGCCAGATGCTAATGAACTAACAGGTAATTGAACCCAGCAGAGGAAGTCTGGAAAGAACCAATGGGCAAAGAGGCAAGTAGATAAATTCAAATGAGAAATTAGGTACACCTTTTTAACAGTCAGGGTTACTGAATGACAAACTCTGAAGTGGTTAATTCAACATCTCTTGCTGTCTTTAACTCAAGACTGGATGCCTTTCTTGAAGAAATGTTTTAATCAATATGCAAGATTTTTGTCCTTAGTATGGGACAACTGAATTAAACTTAATGGCCATCAGGAGGGAGGTCAGACTAGATTATCTGTTGATTTATTTTGGCTTTGCTGTATGAAATAACAGTATTGTATCTATAACATGAAATTATTAAGCCTTACTAGTAATTTCTATTTTAAACAACAAAGATTTCTTGATTAAGTGCTCTCTCTCAAAATCCCATTTCCAAACTTTTATAATGGCACAGGTAAAAGAAACTATTTGATGACAGTAGTAAGAAACATCTGCTCTGGAGAATAATTTTCAGAGTTCTTGAAACCATGAAATATGTCTGAACTACTTTTTTAAAACCACAAACACTTACAAGACAATTCCGGCTCACAAGAGCACTGTGCTGAAACATCTATTGGGCTCATCTAAACCTGTCTGGAGGTATTTGATTAGCAAATCCAAATTGTTAGGTTCCTTGTGGTTTGAAGAACATTCTATGGCTCTTGCAGGGGGTTTCTAATTTGGGTGGATTAGAAGATACATATGTCCAAATTCCAATGTCATGTGTTCCAGGATTTGGACTGTTCCAAACACCACAGTCCATCAGTGTAAAATATTCAAGTGTGAAGTATCAAGATAAGCATATCTGAGACAGCTGGCCAAGGACATACATGGAGCTCAGGTTCTTCCCTCCTTCTTTCCCCTCCTCCTGCCCCCGCATCGGTTCCCAGGCCCAGAAAAGAAGAAGTGTTCATGTTATCTTGTAGCATAGGAAGGAGAGGCATAGAAGAAGGATCAGAGGATCAGGAGAGAAAATTCCCTCAAGAAGGCCAGAACATAATCTTCCAAAAGAATTTCCTAATTTCTGAAATTTCTCTTACCCTTTTAGTGCCACATGCCTATTATATCCTGCTCCTGCCCATCTCTCTTTCACTCACTTGGATGCTAAACCATCCAAGATATCCTGCTGACACAAACTCCCAGACAAATCCCCTGTCCAGATATAGATTCATAGATTGTAAGGGGCTGGAATGGACCTTGCAAAATCATCGGGTCCAGCCCCCCTGCACTAGGCAGGAAAGACAACTGGGGTCAGGTAACCCCAGCGAGGTGACCGTCCAGTCTTGAAGATTTCCAGGGTAGGCGATTGCACCACCTCTGGAGAAAGCTTATTCAGAGTCTGGACACTCTAACTGTGAAGAAGTTTTTCCTGGTGTTAAGCCTGAAATGGTCTTCCAGGAGTTTGTGGCCATTACTCCTGGTTTTCCCCAAGGGTGCCCTGGTGAACAGTTGTTTGCCAAGCCCTTGATGTATTCCCCTGATTTAGTAGTAAGCTGCTACAAAGTCCCCTGTCAGCCTTCTCTTTTTTAGATATAAAAAGGCCATCCTGCAGCTTCATGACTAGAGCTGGATGGGTAAAAACTTTCTTGTCTCTCAAAAAAAAAAATTCAGGTTTATAAAAATTCCACATCACTACCAGAACATCTTTCAAAGTTTTTTCAATTAAAAAACTAGAAAGACAGATACCCCCAGAATAGCCAATAGCATTGTGGTTATAGTACATTGTGGGTATAATAATCACCTAGGTATGGCAGACGAGCATTCAAGTCACTGCTCTGGCTCTTTTAGGCTAAGGACTGGAACCCAAGTCTCTCATGCTCACAATGAATGTGTTCACTAACAAAAATTGTGGCTTGGCCAATATATTTGAAAATATTTAAAATTCTGCTCTTTTTCCATCATATGATAAAAGGGGTAGGACTGTATTAGAGCTCTAATGGATCATTTGCATACACCTTATGTGAGTTCATTGTTCAGGCATTCAGTGAAGCAACTCATTTGCTCTGAGGACTTTGGCAGACAGATTGTCGAATTAATGATTTATTTTGGCATGTTTTTGGGGAATGGAAAAAACTAATAGGGCAATTCTATCAGCAGTGTGGTGAATAAAAAACTTTTAAAGACTGAATGAACCAAAGCTGCTTGCTCATGGCTTCATTACTTCTAGAGTAAGGGTCACTTGGACTGGGGTCATAACATCAAAAGTGATTTTCCTGTTGAAGTTAGTTGCATTTATTTTTACCTAAAATTGTGGGCAATTTTAGTTCTTTCACTCATAAAGTGAGGCGATCTAATGGTTTTCAAAACTGTTATACACAATGCCACTCTGATAGACCTACAAATGATTACCTAGGTGAAGTGAGACTTATTCACAGTTTGGCCCTCAATCCCATGTAATTTCTATCTGTCACTCATTGAATCAGGATGGTTTGCAAATTGTAATGGCTGTCAGGGAAATGCTCTCATTCTCTCTAACTCTCTCTGCAGTTACATTTTTCCAGATGGTGTACGTGGGTCAGATTAGCACAGTACATTTCTTAGTCCTCATTACTTTTAAGAAATACAAGAGGTAAACATTTTCAAGCAACAACCTCCCCCACTTATTTTGAAGATATTATATTGATATAGATATAGTAAATTCTAAAAAAAAAGGACAGTTACTATATATCTGGATAATGCCCAGACAAATGCTGATCTAACCAGCTTGGCCTCTCAGAACTAGGTCTAAATAACAATAATTTTGCTTTGGTTTTCAACTAAAGTTTTTGACATTAGGTGTCATGTACAGTGAAAAGACCCTGAAGAACCCAGGTGAGATTCTGAGATGTTACAATAGATAGATGAAAAAGATCACTTAGGGGAAAGGACAAGATAATAGGAAAATAGGCAAGTGCAACAAGCGGCGTTCTTAGTTCACGAGTTCCCTATCACATATGTATAACTACGTGAATTACATGCTGTGAAATATCAATATTTACCAAAAAAATTTAAAGCATTATGTATTCTCAGTGGACGCATCTACACTTGCACTTTACTGTGGAGTTGACTAATTAGCTCTGCAGTAAAGTGTCATTATCTACATGAGCACTGGCATTAGAGTACAGTAAATTAATTAACTCAGTCATAAAATAGTACTGTCAGGAATGGTATTATATTACAGTGGAGTTATTAACTGTCGTGAAACGTATATGTAAATGCTGACCCAGGCAAAAATTGCACCCGGTCAGCCCAGGCAGACAGGGGCCAGACCCCTGCCTATTACTTAACCACACTGCTCTGCACTTTGGCACTCTCATGCTCAGCCATCCCCTCTGCTGTCCAATGCTGCCACCTGGACCCTGGGGTTGACCCTTTGAGCCTGCTACCCCAGCTCAAAGTGCTGCTATCCCAAGTACATGTGTAGATGCTGTACTCAGGAGCAGTCAACTCCAGCGCGAACTGTGCTGTAGTTTATTCTGCCGTATTAATTTCATGTGTAGATGCACCCAGTATATACAAAATACTGTTGAGCTCAGTGACTGCTTCTAATGCAGGCCACTGTAACTGAAAGCAGATGCTGGCTTAATACAGCAAGTGGAGTGGAAACAAGAGAACTACTGCACTCAATCAGAAAATGTATCAAGGCTACCAATAGAATAATCTAACAGTTAAGGAGTTGAGATTGTCACTGATTGCTGGTCTTTCCTTCTGCATCAAATTCTTCATTTTTAAGTGAAGCTTGGAGTTTTAAGTGACTAGCTTGAGAAATGCAGGTGTAATTAATTACTTATTTTTCAGAGGCTTACACATATATGGTAAGTTTATTTAACAAGTTGGACTTACTTATAAAGAGGTTTGTTTCTCCCAAAAGAACATGATTAATTAGTATCCTTACATTTTATTTTGCAGCTCATTGTCTAAGAAATGACTAAACAAATTCATCCATCTGTGACAGAGTATCAAGAATGATATAATCAGGGCTACTTTGAAAAGAGCAATCTATAACATTACCCTGTTGATGACTGAAGCAATGCTTATAAAGGCTGGTAAGAGACTAGCCTCTTAAGCTGTTTATTTTTATTTGTATTCAGATAGCATGGGTGGTTACTATGACTGTATACCTGAAAAGATTCAATTTATTCTTCTGGTTCATTTTTGCACCAACTTTTTCAGGTGTCTATTCCATGCTGTACCTTTAATATTTGAAAGGCACATTTTCCAATTACCTTGAAAAAGAAACTTTCAAATTTGGTCACTAAATTCTTGATCTTATGTTTGCAATCTGGATCTGCTGTTAACTTTTAGACTACTTCTGCAGGATACTTTGTTTCTTCACTAGATTTTTTGATAACTTTTGGAACCAACAGTGAGAATTTTCTGTTACTTTCCAAAGCTGATATGAGGAACAATATATTACCTGGTGTATGGTCAGCCCCAGGACCATTTTGCTTGGTGACACTGCTATTGCCAATACTCCAATCAAAAGTATCTCCAACATCTTGTGTGAAACCACACATAACAGTCCATTCTTGGTCCTGTGTTTCAAAGTTACAGCTTCCAGGAATACTTGTATAGTGACCTGAAAATGTGATAAAAAGTAAACTGACTGTCTTAGGTTTCTGTATAGATCACATTAATTTACACATTTAAAAGCCATTAAGTATTATGCAACACATTGCAATAGCAAGGATTTTGTTTAACTGATACTACATTTATGTATGTTAAGCTGCAAAGAAGTTTTCTACATGTTGGTATACATATAGCAGCTTTATTATATCAGTATAACGTTACAAGTATAGATAAAATGCTTCTACATGGAACAAAGCTGTTTTTATTAGAAAACTGTAACACTAGCATGCTAGCGACCAATTCAAAGCACTAGCATGCTAGCGGCCAATTAAAAGAAAGAAGGGGAAGCATAGAGAGACCCAAATGAAAATCCCATGGTTTAACCAACTGAAATCAAAGGCATTTTGGAAAAGGTAGAAACCTGGCCATGTTACTAAAGATAAGTGTTAGGTTATATCAAGAACACGTAGGAAAAAATTGGAAATACCAAGGAATAAACTGAGATACAGCTAACCAGTGGCAAAAAAGGTGGAAAAAAGCATTTAATAAATGTGTTAGAAGAATGGAACACATAGGTCCCTAAATGAACAGGAAGGTAAAACCTGAAGTATTTGTGTACAATATGAAAAAAAAAAAGTTGAACCAAAATAATACCCTTACCCAGCATTGCAGATTTTTTCTTTAGTGGGAAACTGATCTATATTTGAAGTACTATGAAATGAAATGATTTTGAACACAAATTTCCTTTAACTCAGTATTGTTTCTACAGCACAAAACTGTCCTCACACCTTCCAAAACATATAGTGATGAAGCCACTAAATTAAAACCCAGAAGGTCTGGGCTCAGTTTCTACATTTATCACTGGTTTGCTGTGAACTCCTGCACCAAAATCATTAATTGTATGCTTCTTTAACTTTATCATGATTAGACTGGCATGAATAAAAAAATAAAACTTTTGTTTTGCTGTACTTGTGCTCCTTACGCATGTTATCCTAAGCTGCAAATAACTGCCTGATCTTCAACTACAATGCCCCAGTTTTAATTTTGGAGAATTCGGACCAACTGAATAAAAACAATATAGGCCCAGATAAGAGAGTTCAGACAGGGCACTAGACTTCCCCAAAGTCAGGCTCTAGAGAGTTGATCTAATCTTTTAAAGATCACAATAAATCTTGAACTACCTATATGTATGCAAAATTTAAGACTGTTTGGATGTGGGGATTTGGTTTGGGCCCTGCTCCATGTCTAGTTGTTAGCAGCAGTGTTAAAACAGTTACTTACTGGGTATTTGTTTTAAAGGACACCTTGAAAAAGTACAAGCCACTTCAGAAGTATATTCAATAAATTCATTTAACATGCTGATCCTACCTTTCCATTTTAGGACTAGGAACTAATCTATATGAACTAACCTATGAACTAACCTACTTGAGAAAAAAACAATTTAAAAAGATGGCTGCACTTTGACATGCTTCTCAATCAATGATTTAATCTGATGCTCCAAAAAGTTTGTTTCCAAAAAGCCTCATCACTACTGCAGTTGCATCTTATCAAATTAGAAACAGATGGGGGTTTCTTTAGTATAATGTAGATATGCAAAAACCATCAGCTGCTATCTTTGCTGTTTACAGGCCTCTTCTTTAAAGATCAGTCCTTTCACTATAAAGTGAATAACACACACTTTTAAATTCTGAAAAGAGGACCATATAGATTTAAAAAGAGGACACGTAAGTTTTAAACTCTGAAAAGAGGACCATATAATTTGTGTTGTCTACGTAATGGCCTCTGGAAAAGGATATGTAAATAGGAACACACGGTGTTCTACCATGTACTACATGGTGCAACTAGGACAAGTGGAGCTACAAGGACCAGCTTTAAACAAGGAAGCAAAGCAGTCAGGGAAAAAAATGAGATTGTCTGGTCTCAAAAGAAAGAACAATTGTCTTGGACAATTCTAAAGAGATCAAAAACCAAATGAATTTAGATGGTATAATGCTATTCATAATACATTGCCTAACTTCTGGTATTCAACTCTAATATCTTACCAGTGCATTCAGAATTCAGTTAATAATAAATATTTATGAACAGCATTTGTAGGCTTGATGAATTCACCTACACGTCTGCACCTGCTGGATATTTTTTCTTTTTGATATAAACAGAGTCTATTTAGAGGTTATAAGAAGAGGGCTATTTCATTTGTCTGAAAATTTGCTTTTATTTAAATAATTCAAGCATTCCACTACATGGTTCATCAACACTGAGGCCTGCTATTAATCAGATCAGTGTGTATAATTGAATATGGTTCACAAAAATTGAAACTCCTTTCCTGTGTTTTTTTTCATGTCAGTACTTCAAATGGGTCTTGAAAGGGAATGACAACTGTGCAAGATTGCCTGATTGGATAGAAGGAGCAATACAATAGCTGAAAATGTACTTAAAAAAATAATCAGGCTTTTCTGGGTTTTACATGGACATCACATTGCCTGCCAAATCTGCTGTAAAACCAGAGAAGTGTCTCAGTGGAACTACTCTAGAGTGCACAAGAGCAGAATTTAGCCCACTGAGTTACCTTGATAAAGCTAGTATAATAGAATGGAAAAGGAGCTAAATCTTAACCATTTAATTGAGGGGAAAAATAAGAGAAATTGCAAATAAAAGTTTTCATTACCAAAAGAGTATCTGTGTTAGGTTTGCCTACAGAAGCACATGTTTACTAGGCCAGTGCAGAGCAGCAAGTATTCAATTCAGATTTGGCTGATTTGAGGGACAGTGATTTGATTCGGTGACTCGAATCACTGTCCCAATTCAATTTGAATTCAGAGATTTGGCTGCTGAATCAGGCATGGCAGCAGTGAGTGGGGCCCCACCCCCTGCCTCCTCCCCCATGGCTGCCTCACCCAGCCCCAGCATCCCAGCACTTAAGAAAAAAGGAAAAAAGAAAGTCATGCACTCACCAGCTGCAGCAGTGGTGATCGGGGCCTCTGGGGGCTCATGGCAGAGCCCCCCTGCACAGCATGGTGCAGCAGGGATTGCCCCCCCCACACCTGGCACCTGTTGCATCATGGAGGTGCAGCATGGCTCAGCAGGGTGCTGCGCACTGTCCCAGAGCTGGGGCATCTCCAGCAGTCACCCAGAGTCTGGCAGTGCTCAGCCTGAGTGGCCCCAGCTCCTGGAACGTGCATGGAGCCCCATGGCATCCTGCCGAGCTGTGCTGCACCCGTGTGATGTGATAGCTGCCATGCAGGTGCCAAGTGGAGAGAGGGCTCTGTCATGAACCCCCAGAGGCCCTGATCACTGCTTTTGCAGCCAGCAACTGTGGGGTATTTTTGTTTTTGTTTTTGTTTTTAAGTGTCAGGATGCTGGGGCCAGGTGGGGCAGCCATGGGGAGGGGCCTGGGGGA